ATAAAAAAAAGTTTTTTTAAGATGTATATTATGCATATAAAATAATAAATGTTAAGTGAAGATGGATTAAATGAATATGCTTTAGATTTATGAGAGGAAGTAATTACAAAGTTCAAGGCCAACTTCATGGAGAAATTGATCCAAATAGCTCAACATTTATGCTGCACTTATCTAAGCTTGCAATTTCTGGATATAAATAGGAACGTTAAATAATTTGAGAAACATAATAAATGTCCAACCCTCAGTAACTGGTTAAAACACTTTAAATAAAAGAGCCAAACTTAATTCAATATGTAGTTAATGAAAATTTCAAGAGATGAAATAGTAGAATATAATCTTTTAGGCTATTAAATGAATTCAGAAAACTTGAATTTCGGCAAACTGATTTGACAATAAGCCAAGGAGGGAACAAATACTAAATTAAGTTTCTGTTTTAGGCTTATGTCTTAGCCTATAATATAGGTCTCAAACAGAAGCATGAGTGGCATGTTGTAAACTGTGCTGAGAGAAGCTATGAAATTGCAGTTTTCACATATAAATTGGAAGAATAATCTGTTCATATTGATGGTGGTGGGATCTTTCATACTCACTATTTACTCCCCCAAAATAAAACATATACATATTAAAGCCATACATATATCTGCTGTCTGTAGTAGGTGATCACTTATTATCTCAGAAAACTTTAGAATTTTTCAATAATGTGGATATAGATGCATTATTTCTTCCTTAATTCAAACATACTGTCCAGAAGTCCCAGATTATCTGGGCTTTTTTTTTTTTTTTTTTTTTCCCAAACTCGAGGTTTTCTATTACTAGAAAAGAAGTTTTTGACTGGGTGCAGTGGCTCACGCCTGTAATCCCAGCACTTTGGGAGGCCAAGGCAGATGGACACAAGGTCAGGAGTTCAAGACCAGCTTGGCCAATATGGTGAAACCCTGTCTCAACTAAAAATACAAAAATTAGCTGGGCATGGTGGTGTGCACCTGTAGTCCCAGCTACTTCGGAGGCTGAGGCAGGAGAATCGCTTGAATCCAGGAGGCGGAGGTTGCAGTGAGCCGAGAGTGTGCCACTGCACTCTAGCCTGGGTGATAAAGTAAGACTCCATCCCCTCCCCCCCAAAAAGGAAGTTTTAAAAATTTTTTATTATTTTAATTTTTAATATTTTGCATATGAGGAAATAAATGAACTCACCAGTGCTCTTCCTTCATGGAACAATATATTACCATTATGTACACTCTTAGTAATATACTTAGAGGACTATTGATAACACTAAGCTTTCTTGGAATGAGGGAGGAGATGTATTTAATCTTACATAGGAAAGTGATTTCAAAGAAACTTTTTTTCAACTTTACAGATTATTCAACCCACCCTAGAGTTTTAGGATGCTGAGTGAAGAACAATAGGCTTAGCGATAAACTGTTTAATTTTATAACACACATTTTTAATCTAATGAATTTCTTCAAGAGACCCAGAAGGAATTTACATGTAACTATGCCCTGTAGCCACCTTCTTGGTATGCCTTTCTCTCAAAAAGCACTTACTGTTTAGCTAATAATTGTCCAGTGATCAGTAGCCAAAAGATTCAATATCCAAGCATCCATTTAAAAATGATAATCTGCTGTAGTCTGTCATTGAATTTCTGATTAATAAACTGTAACTATTTTTATTTTATTTTATTTTTTGTTTTATTTCATTTTACCTTGTGTCTTAGCTGAGCAGCTTAAACAACAGAAATTTATTTCTCATAATTCTGGAGGCTGGAAATTCAAAGATCAAGGTGTCACCTGCTGATTTGCCTTCTGGTGAGGGTTCTCTTCCTGGTTTATGAATAGACACCTTCTTGTTGCATTCTAACATGACAAAGAGAGAGATTTTCTCTCTCACATCCCTTATTAAGAGGGCACTAATCCTACTTAAGAGGGCTCCACCCTCGTGACGTAATTAACTCCTAAAGGCCTTTGTAGGGAAGAAAAAGTAGTATGTTTTCCTCACTCATCACAAAGTTTATGGCTGAGGTCCTTATATCACATTACAAATTAACAAGATGAAAACATACAAATGTATTTAACACGTTTCAGGTGACATGGGATCCTTCAGAAATGAAGACCCAAATGGACAAATTTGTGTATATTTATGCTTATATTTGATGAATGGTATACAGTCATGTAGAAGAACAATTAGAGAAAAAGGGTAAGATTTAAAGGTAATAATGTGGAGAGAACTTAGCCAGGCCCATTTGTTCAGATTCTTCTTGGCATCTCTGTGTTTGCAAGGACAAGAATTTCTCAGAATTTCTCTTTTCTCAGTGTATGGGGAGGGCCTCCGCTGGAATGAAGGTTTTATAACCTCACTTTAGTAAGACTAGCTAGATTTTATGGCCAGTTTCAGGGGAGAAGGGAAGAGCAAAGTGAGAGTGACCTTTCTGCTTCTGTCATTTTCTTAAATGTCAAGGTGCCATATTTTGGAATAGTTTGTCTTGAATCTCATCACCCCATTTCCAAATATCATAGTATTAGGAATTAGGGCTTCAATATATAAATTTGAGGGGACATAAACATAAGCGCCTAGCACTTTGTTAAATACCAACACTTTAGTGTTTGGTGACACTATCGGCTTCAAAGCAAGTCTTGATGAGGAAGCAGTGTTTGCTATTAGACTTCCTTCCAAATACTCTGTCTGAGTCAAAATATCAGACAATCAAGAAAGTGATTTCCCTTTCCTATTGAGTCTTAGGACACATATATAAAGCAAGAATGCATGTACAGTCATTCCTAGATATTCATGGGGAGTTGGTTCCAGGACCCCTCTGTGTATCAAAATCCATGACTGCTCAAGTACCTTATATTAAATGGTGTAGTATTTGCATATAACTTAAGCACATCCTTCATGAATCATCTCTACATAACTTATAATGCCTAATACAATGTAAATATATGTTATATTGCTTTTTAAAATTTGTATTCTTTTTATTATTGTAGCGTTATTTTAAAAAATTATTTTATGAATATGGGATCATGGATACCGAGGGCTGACTGGGAATGCATATAATAAACTTTTAAAGAGTGGCGCATGTTATATAACTATAGGTTTATTACAAAAACAAGATCAAACCAACTCTTCGTAAAAATAAATTTAAAAGCACATCTTCAATACCAAAAGGATTGATTAAATAATTTCTCTTCTTTAACTTGGTAGTCCACAAAGCCAGACTAACATAGTACAAATCAAATATCTACTTTATTTATAAGACATTTGTAGCACTGATAGATCGCTTACTATGTATCAGGAGATATGGTAAGCACATAATAAATATTAATTCATTCCAATCCTAACAATAATCCTATTGGGTACATATTAGTGTCCTGCTTTCAAGTGACATAGCAACCTGATTTCAAAGAAATTTTTTTAAAAGTTAAAAATTAAAAAAAGGGAGAGAGAAAGAGACAAAGCAGAACCCCACCCCAATAAAAGACACAGATATATGACTTGTAGAGACTAACTATGCTATACGAGGAAAAACTAAAATTTGAACCTAGATCTATCTAAATTCCAAAGGCCAATTTTTAATACTGTATTTTACTTACAATTTTGCCAATTAGTGCTGCGAGCTGGTGTGTACCCATTAGTTATACTTAAGTAAATGAAGGCTAAGATGATATGCTAGATTCTTTTAAACATTTCACACATTAGCATAAATAGAATTGATAAAGACCAGTCAAAATTCTTTGTACATCCTACATATGTGTTACTTTTTTAAGTGTTTGAGTCCTAAACATGAATAATTCTTTCACACTAATTTTTATAGACTAACTGTATTCCTCCAATTTACAAACTGTTTTGTAGTTTAATCTAGTAGCTGCTTTATTACATATAATATGTTGATGCTATACTTTATGGAACAAAATAAAATCACTAATAGAAATAGTATTATATGCAAGTCTAATCTTAGTTAATGGCACACTATTTTTTCCAATATTAATAACAGAAAATCTACCAGGGTTATGAAAAATGGTGATTTGAGAGGGATATTTGGAAAAATATAAAAGGCAAGTTATACTCTAAGCTCTTATTTGCACCTTAAAATTTTATAAAAATTCAGTATTTCATATTAGTCCCATCAATTTTATTAAGATATGTGTTTAGTAAATAAGATTAAATGCTTGCCGTTCTTGGAAGAATTATTTTACTGGTGTTTTCTTTTGTGACATCTGCTGGCAATACCTGGTATTACACTGCTCTATAATTAGCCTTTATCTACCTTCTCCAACTGTCCAACTTTTCCAGATAATACCAGTTAATTCAACTTAAAGAATATAGTGAGTGTCCCGAACTAACGAAAAGGTATTTTAATATGAAACTGAATCAGAGGAGCAGAAAATTTAGCCCTCTAGAGGCTGATAACTTATTTAGCATATTACACATGTATTTTTAATTTCATTGTTTGGTACTAAAAGAGATGTATACTTTTTTTCTGAAAACTTTAAGCTTGTTTCAGGTAAAAATGTTATGTATTATAATGCTCGTGATGGACAATTGTTAACCAATCCCTCTAGTGAAACTGTCCCACACAGATGTTCTCTGCAATTTGATAGCTATGTGATTTAAAAGTGTACATTACAGTAAAATTGCAGGTGTCAAGTCTAAATTCATGTTTAAAAATGAATGAACTGTACCTTAATTGCTGCATACATCGGATCCATGGCTATGAAGCAGAATGCATGAGCAAACTTTTTATATTACCAAGAATCCATTTATCTATGGTCCCATCAGTCAAATTCAGATACTTGTTGCCAGCTCCAAGATTTATAGTCTGGAGCTGGTTTTTGAAATTGCTTTGTATTTCCATTTAACAGCCAGGGAAGCAGCATGTTAAAATTTTGCCTCGGTCTCCTTGGATCCTATTTATAAAGCTAATTTGTCTCCCTAGACATTTTTTTTTTCTCTCTTTTAAATGCCAGCTCTAGGCTTCTAAACCATTAAACCCCCTTCTTTATCCCAAGCAAAATACTGTCATAGACAGCGCCGTTGCAGGACAGTGATGATTCCGATGATGATATAGTTCTCCCAGGCAGGATGCAAACCATTTCGTCTTCTGGCCGGAGATGGATTCACTGCCCTCCCTGCAGACACGCAGGCTCACACGCGGAGCACTGGGAAGTACACATTTACTGTACTGCATGCCGACTGCCTTGAAGAAACTGTAGCTAACCACCTTATTAGTATTCTTGCCTCCACCGTGTCTCACTTGCAGCATCAGAGGGCTGAGCAAATGCAGTAGAACAGGGACAGACACAGCTCTGGCAATCATCTCAATGCAGGCTGCCGAATGTTGGGGGTGGGGGATGCAGCACATCAAGATTAATAACCTTGCCATAATCCGGGGCACCCTGCAAGCAGACACCTCTGCTGATTGACCTGCTCCTGGCTTGATGCATCTACCTGGGGGAGAGGGATCCGGAATCTACCTAGTCCTGGGGCCCCCCTGATTTTGGATGTTCATTTGATCCTTCACAGATCTGGGAAGGTAACAGTGAGCTGTGCCATCTGCAGCACACAGCAGCTCTTGGAGGTTACTACTGACAGTTTTCATTACACTGGTTTGTGTGAGTGCCTGTGTTTGTATGTGTTTGTGAGTGTGGGTGCCTGCTTTGCATGAAAGAGAATGTGTGAGTGTCCGTGTGTGTGTACGTGTTAGTGTGACAACCAAAGCAGGTATTTCGTACAGTAGGAGATTTCAACAGCGTGACAATATTCTCCGGGCACTTGGGCTCACAGTCTGTAGCCCCCACCCCCAGCCTTTCGCCACCTCCTTGCTTCCCCACTCCCCCTTCTGCTTTTGCCTTTGATGAGTTTTTGGCTTACTTTTTGGCGGAGTCTCTTGGACACGTTTTTGCTGGTACTGGAAGATCAGATACATGGAACCTTTGAAAACTGATTATTTTTCTCCGATATGACTTAAAAAAATAAAAAGAAGAAAAGAAAATAGAGTAGTGCACGGCAAGCTAGAGGATTGTAAATTTTCCTTGGTGAACTTTGAGGATCCATAAAGAAGGTAAGTCACGGGACTCCTCAGATCTCGGTCCTTGTTGTCTTGCAATGTTTGTGTTTTCCTGCTTGTTTTCGGAAATCCATATGCAGTTTATACGCTCATTTCTAGAGACTGGAATGCTCAGAAGAACTCAGTGTGTGGCATTTTGGGGCTATTTTTATGCCAAGGAGGTTATTTCCATTTGTATAACCATCCCCCCTTTCCTCTTACCATTTTTATACCTCTCTTGTTTATCTAACATTTTCACAGGGAATTCTGAATATATGAAATCTGGAAAAAAAATAATTCCAGCTTTCTCCTGCCTTGAAATACTGTCTAAATTTGAGGAAAAGCATTAATCAGAAAAGCGACTGGCACAGGCTCTGAGTTAGAGGCAAAGTGTGTCTGCTCAGAGACTGGGGGCTGGGGAGGTGGGGGCGTAATCCGGACTTTCATGATAACTTAATAGTAGACTTCCCCCTCCTCATAGCTCTATTTTTTTTTCTCCTTGAATAGTTAGTTATATCTGCTCTAGAGAGTAGCGAATGTGTGGAATACAGAAAAGCTGCTTCACCAGCTCTTAATTGGAGGAAATGAGAACAAAGTGGAAATTGTTTAGTATTTTGAACCTCTCTCTTTTTGCACTGATTCTCTCACTATTGCATCTCATTAACCTTTCCGAATGCAGTGTTCCCTGATTAAGACTAGTGTCGCTCATTTTGGAACATCCTCTTACCCTATGTGGTCCCCCGAGAAGGGGATGTGTTTGAAAATTGCTCTTAATTGTCTATTCTTGGCTGTAAAAGCAAGTGGCATCAGGAATTCAGGTGACTTTACTCAAACATCTTGCCTAACTCAGTCTCTTTAGTTTCCTGGTAGTTAACTGTGCCTTTCTTCACCCCCACCTCCAAGCTTTTCCTTCAAAGTGAAATGCAGACAATATTTCACCTGTTTCAATCCCAAGGTTATTTAATTAAAGCAAAATATCATTTCATTGTGATAACATCTGTGTTCCCGTGTCTTGTAGTATTTTTATCTCTGCATTGGTATCAATTAGCTTCTCCCCACGAGTAAAAAATCACTTGTAAATAGGTTTCTAAAATGCTGAGACCTCACAGGCAGGCAGCAGAACCTTACTCTTCATCTGCCAGTGCATGTGGATGGTTTGTCCTGAAAAGAATAGTGTTAGTTCATGGAATGTTAGCCAACTTGAACTGTTACTGTGGACACGTTCATGGAAGAGATGACAGGTGTGGTAACTAGGTAGAGAAGAGCACACCTAAGTGATTCTCTCCCGGTGTTGATGTCTATGTATATAAAGAAGATGAAAATTGTAGCATAATAGATTTATTCAGACGCTACGTGGCCTGGGTCAAAGATTTATGAGAGCACCCAAGTTGAGAGATGTCAGGCATCATACTCAAAACATTGATTTTATATATATATTTAGAAGGAGTTCCAAAAAGAAAACAAGCAAACAAACAAACAAAAAACTTAAAGATGAGATTATACTCTGGTATTACCCTAGGCTATCCTAGCCTTTCATCTATCTAATATTTTTTGCATAATGATTTTAGAGAAGCAAGTAAAAGAGGAAAACTGTGAGAAGCTGCCCCTTCTCCACCCCTGGCCCAACCTTGTACCTGGTACTCCAGGCAGTACTCTCAGTAAAAATTACCATGGGAAAACTCCTGTCAGTATAATTTATAATGTGTCTTTCATGTCAATGATTTATGATCATGATATTTTTATCTGTGACCCATAATGTCCAGGTACATTTTTCTTATCTAGAAAGGAGGTTTGTTGCTTTGTTTTTTTAATTTTTAAGTGGCTTGAACCTAGGAGAAATCCTAAATAAAATTTTATTTTCTTTGTGGAAAAAACCATCTGAGGTTCATAAACCCTGAAAGTGAGAATAATATACGAATAAGAAACACAAAGTTTCTGTTGTAAGGAGAAGGATCCTGATACTCCAAGTGCCAAAGGGTCATGGCAGGGTATTGGAGGCTCCCCAAGCTCTGCCTGGACAATCAGCATTCCTTAAGTTTGTCAGCTCTTTATTAACCTGCATCTTTTGGCAACTAGTCCCAGGTATGGAGGACAGCATTTTAGGTCATCTATTTAGTGTTAGGACTGCTCTGAATAGAGAGAGGTCCTTTGAAAATGTCTTTCTGGAATCTGGCAAATTAGTACCTCTCTCCATTGAGGTTATCTAATGTTGACTGTTCTCCTATTCATATTCTCACCAAGTACTGGTATATTTAGATGTGTGGTGTTGGTAAAAATTAATTGCACAGATTATTCTCAATACTACCTCAAAACAAAACAAAACAAAAAAACAACAAAAGATACCAACTTGGCTTTTGTGTATTAAAGATTTAATAATTGTAATGAGTGAATCTTTTAGCGATAGCAACACTTTGATGATCACTTATTTTAGGCTAATAATAGGAGTGGGGTACAGTCAACTCAGGCTTTTCTGATTACAGCTTATGCAATGTGCAAAGCATCTCTCCCATATCTCAAGGGTTCCTGATGGTGTTTGCACAACTGTAACTTTGCATCTTTATTTTCAGCTCAGGCCAGAGCAATAATAAACAGCTTTTGATCAGAACCAACTCCAGGTCCATGGCTTTTTCAGTTTTATTTTGTGGTAGAGAGGGTTTTGAGGTTTACCAGGGTTTATTTTATTGCTTAGAGAATTCAGAAAAGAAAGGTCAATGGGGGTAGGGAGCCTTCCATTTCAGTAGGAGTAACATGTCAGAGTTGCTAAAGAAAAGGCTAAAGTTCCCTAGAAGCAGCATATGCAGGGTTATATTTTTAAAAGAATGAATTGGTGAAGGGTTTCTCTGAGTTTATTGGGTAGAATAAAGGACATTCCAGTTTCTTTCTGTATTTAACTCTATTTAGATTTGGAAGTCCTTTCCCTGGGACTCTGCTGAAGTCAGACAAGGAGGCCCAACATTCTCCAGTGTGTTCCTGTGTTTTTAAGACCCAGGGCACTTAACACATGAATAGCTCTTTCCCTCTGTAACAAACAGGGTTGACAGCTGGAAAGTCAGCTACTGAGAACATTTAAGAAGGAGCCAGGAACATCCCCTAGTAAGTTCAAGAGCAGAGAGGAGCTTTTGCAGCCCCGGCCCTGGAGGTGGGTAAGGACCAGGTGGATTGAACTTGAAATTTTGATTGCTGAGTCATTACAACAGCCTAGAGCTGTTTGTTAGCTCAAAGAGCTGAGCTGATGCTGGAACTGGGGCTAATAGGAATAGGCTAAGAGCATCAGCCTACAACAGAAAATGAAGACTCTTGAGAAGAAGAAGATACAGTCTGTGATGACAAATGCTATTTTGTTTGTCCTTGATACTGTTCTCCATCACTTCAGAACAACCTCTCAGGGACCCCAATAAATTACAGGATAAAAGATGGATTAATTGATGTGTGAATAGAGCAGGGGCTTTGCAATAAATTAAGCCAACTCACTCAATTATCTGCATCTCCATTTGGGACTACTCAGCAGTCACAGATAAAATGGGGAATGGTGGAGGCTGGGGTTAAAATCAGAAGCAAAAAAAAAAAAAACCCTCTGGATTGAGAATCAGAAGATATCAGTCAAACATTGCAAGTATTGCTTAATGGTTGGTAGGTCGTTCAAAGTCTTGGAACCTTGATTTCTTCCTATATAATTTGGAAATAACTATTCTTAACTCATAGTGTTGTTGTGAAGGCTATGATGAAATATTGTAGAAAAAAAGATCTACAGATATACTCTTCTGTAGAAAAGTAATGTGTTAAAGTAATGATGACTTTCTGTATTGTCCGAGACATAAAATGAGTCCTCCAATATAATTTCAAGTTAAAGTATTAAGCAGAACTGACCTATTCTTAATGATTGGTATTAACATTTATGTTCTTATAGTTTTGGTGTTTTTCCAAATGTGTTGACTTTGCCTCTTCTCAGTAATTTTTGTGGTACATTCTTAGTTACTTGTGAATATGTGTATGTGTTGTGTGTATGTACATGTGCATGCATACATGCATAAATAGCCAATTCATATGAGGCATAATTTTAGTTTCATGAAAAATAGAAAATATATAATGACCTGAATTCATTTTCACTGGATATCCAGAAAACATAAGAAAAACTTGACTTTCCCAGACTTGGACATACACAGACTACTAGCAAGTTTGCAGTCACCAAATAACTCCAGTCCACAATGAGGTTGTTGATTAGAATTTGAGTTACACTTGGGAATTATATAAATAAAATATACATTTTTTAGTAACAGCACAGCAAACAATGATTTTCACAGTGAGCTGCATTTGGTGGACAGATAGACCAGAATTAAAAAGCTGACTTGGAAGTTATGACAGCAAGAGAAGATGGTAGTGAGAACAGACTTTGGAGTTGAATAGAATGAGATCAGATACCTAATCTCTTAAAGCCTCAGTTGTCTCATCTGTAAAATAGGGACAATCAGTTATAAGCGATTCTGTGATGAGTGAATGAATAATTTTATGTAAAGCACTTAGTAAAATCCTTGACACAAAATTGGACTTCTCTAGGTAGCTCACATATATTCTCTCATTCCTGTTCAACTAGTTTAAGAATAGGAAGACCATACTAATCCAGTGTTTTTATATTTTTATACAGGGGGCAAAATCCCCAAATGTAATCTGAGTGCTAAGTAAAACTGGAGACAGAAAGCTACATTCTGAAAGCTATATTTCTGTAAATTAGCTCATTTCATGTACCATGGTTTCATCACACCCTTTTTCTGAGCAGCCTAAGCACCATTTTCAGATGTCATTTCACTTATACTCAGAACTTTCAAAATGATACCGAATATAAGGAGGAAGAATCACGTGCATCCTTCCTTATGTGGTTGCAGAAACACAATTCAGATGTCACCAAGAGGTGTTAACATTGCTCTTTACCTAAAATCTCGTTTTGTTCACAGTTAATGAAAGGATGCATATTTATCAAGCACCTACCAGGTATGAGCACTACAATCATTGCTGTGGCG